CATTTTAAAGTATAATGCTGGTTTTGTGTTCCCACGTGTGTAATGGAGTTTTGCCTTTGTCTTGGGAGATAATTGAGTTACTTCCCAATTATCTCCCAGGGCAGAGGGGAGGAAGCCAGGATGCATTGTGGGAATATACTGTGACTGTGTGTCCTTTTTGTATACTTGTCTGTCCCTTGTCACAGTCTCCCATTTGGTCCCCTAGGGGAGTGTCCACCAGGTGGGAGACCTGCATAAAAGCTGGGCAGGTAGCCCTCATTAAACAGACCACTGCTTGACCCTCAACACGGAGCCTTGTCTCGTTCTTGGGGGGATTCACTGTATGCTGTTAGAGACTGATTGCCAGGAGTGTAAGCTGTTCGTCTGCTTTTCCTGTTCGTCTGCTAGCAGCTATTTGGGAGGTTCCAGTTCGGGAGTTGGAGTGCTATTTTGTATCCAGTTCGGGAGTTTGGTGTTCTGCAGTAGCTGTGCCTGTATCTCTGGAAAGGGGGCCGATCGCCTAAACGGTTTTTACCCCTTGTGTGCAAAACGGTCCGTTACAATTGGTGGCAAGCGGCGGGATCGTTCCCACAGACTACAGGACAGCTACAGGCGACACCATTCCGTGGATTTACAATTTGAGGGCAACGCATGTCTGAGTACAGCGACCCTGACAGCAACAGCATGGAACCAGCAGTGTCATACGAGGAGGAGGACCTGGATGGCCGGGATGCATTAAGGAAAGGCATCTGGTACCAGGCCCTGGATAATGTACAGTACCAGCGGGGTGAGAGTCTCCCCAGTGAAGAGCAGCGGTTGCAGAAGCAAGTGGCCCTGCGGATGCCCTTCCTGGGAGAGCAGCCCCTAGATGAATGGGTGAAGGAATTGGAGCACCGGGTATGGCAGGAGATTTGGCTGGAAGATGCATACCAGGCGCTCTGGTGGTATGGGGCACAGTACCTGCCCTGGACAGCCGAGCATGACAAGCCAGAGGGAGAGGAGTTTGATGGTCCTGGCTTGTTATGGGAGGCTTTTTCAGAGCCTGAATTTGGGAGCCCTACACAAGCCCGGTTCAGTGATCTCTTGGAGTGGAGGGAGAGCAGGTATGACTGGGACGACACTCACGACATTGAGCAAGACCTGGCTCACCTAGCAACCCTGGAGTGGGAACTGGAGCAGGACTACCGAGATCTCTTCCACTCCATTGAGAAGATTCAGCAGGACAGCAAGGTGACAGAGCCAGAACCAGACCCATTCAGCTGGGAAGACATTGTGGATATTTTCTGGGAAGAACCCCAGGTGGCCGGTAGAGATGGGACCGAGCTCTCTCCACCGGTCCTGCAGGGAATTGGGAGCCCAGTCTCCATTCCCCAGCGGCCGTGTGATTTATTGGGAATTGGGAGCCCAGTCTCCATTCCCCAGCGGGAGATATTGCAGGGAATTGGGAGCCTGAGCTCCATTCCCCAGCTGCAGGCTGAGTTACAGGGGACAGAGATAGTCGCTCCTGTCCCCCAGCAGCAGAATGAATTGCAGGGAATTGGGAGCCCGAGCTCCATTCCCCAGCGGGAGAAATTGCAGGGAATTGGGAGCCCGAGCTCCATTCCCCAGCGGGAGATATTGCAGGGAATTGGGAGCCTGAGCTCCATTCCCCAGCGGCAGGCTGAGTTACAGGGGGCAGAGGTAGTTGTTCCTGCCCCCAGCAGCAGAGTGATATGCCGGGAAGGCAGTGTAAAGTGCAGGGAGAGGAGAACAGCGTCCTCCCTCCCCAGCGGCAGGCTGAGATACAGGGGGCAGAGGTAGTTGTTCCTGCCCCCCAGCAGCCAAGTGATATGCCGGGAAGGCAGTGGGAAGTCCAGGGAGAGGAGAGCAGTGTCCTCCCTCCCCAGCGGCAGCGTGATTTTTTGGGAATTGGGAGCCCAGTCTCCATTCCCCAGCTGCAGAATGATGCTTTGGGAATTGGGAGCCCAGTCTCCATTCCCCAGCGGCAGTATGATGCTTTGGGAATTGGGAGCCCAGTCTCCATTCCCCAGCGGCAGCACAGATCATTGGGAATTGGGAGCCCCGTCTCCATTCCCCAGCGGCAGAGTGTCCTACCGGGAATAGAGAGCCCAGTCTCCTTTCCCCAGCAGCAGGACTCTGTATTGGGAGCAGAGACAGTCGGTCTCCCTCCCCCGCAGCTGGAAGTATGTATGGGAGAGGAGCTTGTTACCCCCTCTCCCCAGCGGCAGCTTAATGTACCAGGGGGAGACAGTAAGCCCCACAACCGTGCAGATGGGACCGTAGTCTCTACACTGCCAGCACAGGGGGTAGGGACGGTCGGTCCTGCCCCCCAGCGACAGGGCTGTTTAGCCAAAGGGGAGACAATCGGTCTCCCCCTCCAGCAGCAGAGATGGGTAACCAAAGGGGAGACGGTCGGTCTCCAGCAGCAGGACTGTGCAGCTAAAGGGGAGACGGTCGGTCTCCAGCAGCAGGACTGTGCATCTAAAGGGGAGACAGTCAGTCTCCAGCAGCAGCAGCAGAGCGGTGTATTTAAAGGGGAGACAGTCGGTCTCCCCCTCCAACAACCAGGCTTCCACCAGGCTACCCTCCCAGTAGCGCTGGCAACAGGGCAGAGTGCCGCTGGTCTCTGCCCACGCAGCAACCCACCAAGTCAGCGTACCCGTACCCAGCACAGCCGTGGTGAGGCACCTGGACATGGACAAGCTTCTTCTCTACCCAGGTGTAGTAACCATTTATTGTGGGTGGGCTGTGCTGTTGATTATGTTTTGTGGGTGGGCTGCTGGACTAACAAGGGCACTGACAGGAGGTCAGATACCCTGTTAGTCTGTTTGGAAAAGGGGAGAGATGTGACGAAACCAATCTCGCCACATTGCATTGGAGGAGCCTGGTTGCCCGCCTGCTGCCTTTGGATTATGGACCGGCAGCTAAAGGCTTAATTTTACTGTGCAGAAGGATTTATTTCTCCCTTTCTGCACAGCCGTTCGGTAGATTCCATCTACCAAACAAACAGTCTCTTTTCAGCCTCCCCAGAGCCGTGGGAAGCCGGCCGGCGACCTTAATTGGCCACCCAGAAGCTGGAGTGCACCCTCCATTTACCTCCCTGAAGCCGCGGTTAACCGCGGCTTAACGAGCGTGTGCCGGCAATTGACCACCCAGTAGCTGCGGTTAACCGCAGCTTAATTGATTGTTACTGGGTGGTCGCGGTTACACTTAGCCGCCACACGATGGCGGTGTTCTGGAGCTCCCCGGGCAGCCAGCGCTTGTCTGCCCGGCTTTCATGCACCAAACCCGGACACTTTTACGTGCAGGCACCGCTGAACCTCCAACCCCTGGTTCTAATTCGCACGGATTGGACGAATGCATGTAAATTCGGTATTTTATGTTGGAGGAATGTTTTAACCCAGATAGCTATGCCATGGAGCCTATTCGTGGAATTAAAGACTTGGGCTCCATGGCAATTAAAACTGTATTCGTGTGGTCTGAGTGCCATTCACTTAATAATGTGCACTCAGACCTGAGCTATCTGGGGATATGTTACATGTCTGTGTTTTATGTAGTAAATGTTACTTTGTGCATTTTAAAGTATAATGCTGGTTTTGTGTTCCCACGTGTGTAATGGAGTTTTGCCTTTGTCTTGGGAGATAATTGAGTTACTCCCCAATTATCTCCCAGGGCAGAGGGGAGGAAGCCAGGATGCATTGTGGGAATATACTGTGACTGTGTGTCCTTTTTGTATAGGTGTCTGTCCCTTGTCACAGTCTCCCATTTGGTCCCCTAGGGGAGTGTCCACCAGGTGGGAGACCTGCATAAAAGCTGGGCAGGTAGCCCTCATTAAACAGACCACTGCTTGACCCTTAACACGGAGCCTTGTCTCGTTCTTGGGGGGGATTCACTGTATGCTGTTAGAGACTGATTGCCAGGAGTGTAAGCTGTCTGCTTTTCCTGTTCGTCTGCTAGCAGCTATTTGGGAGGTTCCAGTTTGGGAGTTGGAGTGCTATTTTGTATCCAGTTCGGGAGTTTGGTGTTCTGCAGTAGCTGTGCCTGTATCTCTGGAAAGGGGGCCGATCGCCTAAACGGTTTTTACCCCTTGTGTGCAAAACGGTCCGTTACATGTATTATTTCCAATATTTTACCGTATTACTTATTTTGTATCTAGACCAGTGGGATTAGTGATAGGTGCCCTCGAAGGCACAGTTCACAGCATAGCTCCAGCTTTAGACACGGGGGGGGGCACAGTACAGGATCGCTCTAGCCTTATTACAGTTATATAAGCCATTATTCCTAGAGTTTCACCGTCATTTAAACGGTTTATTCTCTGCCTGTTTACTTTTATTTGTAGTGGGACTATTGGTAGGTGCCCTTGAAGGCACAAGTACTATACTTAGCAATCTACTGTCCGATCCACAGTGTATCCTGACATTCTGACTTCTATGCATTTAGCACTAGCTGAATTAATGACAAGCCGTTCTATCTAGAGTCTAACCGTCACTCGAACGGTTCATTCCCTGTTTATTTACTTTGTTTAAGCGGGACGATTGTTAGGTGCCCTCGAAGGCACAGAGGTAACCTTTGCTACAATAGCAGCACACATGTAGCGGTATATCTGTTTTTTTACAGTGTATCTTGGTATCCCGATTTCCAAACACAGTTGAACCAGTGATAGCTGCTGATGAAGATCCATTATGAAGCATTAGACCTTCATTCATTCCAAGCTCCAGCTACAATGTTGCTAATACACTCGCTGTGACCATGGGCGTCCGCAGGAATTTTTCCAGGGGGGGGGGGCATAATTGTAATGACATCCATGCTTGGTACCTTTTTGACAGTGTCATGAAAGGGAAGGGGCATAGCCATTATCACATAAAGCCAGGGTGAATAGCGTTTTCACAACTATGGTGTCAGGAATATGTTTGTATTCCTGACACTATAGTGTTCCTTTAAGCAAATTAAAGGACCATTCTGGTCACTATAACAACTTCACCTAAATGAAAATGCTATGATGCCAGGAAGCCCCTGGGTGCTCGCTTTCCTTTAAGGGGTTAAATCGCTCTCAAATGGTTTAACCCTAAAGGCTTCCTCCAGCTCCAGGTCGCTCAGTGGTATTTGGCTTCTGAAACAGAGTGTCAGGAAGTGCAGATTGACGTCAGGCATGGGTGCCGCTGATTGGCTAGAGTGGTCAGTTGACTCTCTAAGCCAATCGCTAGTTCCCGGTTCATAAAATATTTTTACTTTTTTTATGAATGGGGAGCTACTGATTGGCTTAGAGTGCCAGCTGACCGCTCTAGCCAATCAGCAATACCCCTACCCAACGGCACTCTGTGCTTCCTGACGCTCAGTAAATAAAAGTGAACACATTAATACTGATATTTTTTTACCTTTGGAGATGAGAAGGTCCAGCGTTTCCCTGCCAGGCCCAGGTACCAAAGCCTTATGATGTGGTGTCCAGAATAAAGTGGAGGGTTCACTTCATTTGTCCTTCCTGCTCCAATCTCCTTTTCCTCTCCTTCATTTGACAGTCTTTTTTTTTCTTCTGACACTGTTTTCTATCCTTGGCCCCTTCTGCTCTTTTACCTTTCTGCTACTTTCTGCTTATTTTGCGCCCTTCTGCTCCTTTTTCATTCTGATCCCTTTCTGCTCCTTGCAGACCCTTTCTGCTCCCTTTTCTACTTTATCTTTGTGCTACTTGCTGTCCCTTTCTGCTCATTCTCCTACTTTACCTTTGTGCTCCTTCTGATTCTTTCTGCTCCTTTACCTTTGTGCTCCTTCCTGCTCTTTGCAGGCCCTTCCTGCTCATTCTCCTATTTTACCTTTGTGCTCCTTCTGCCCCTTCCAGCTCATTTCTGACCCTTTCTGCTCCTTCTACTTTACCTTTATGCTGCTTTACCTTCCAGCTTCCTGTTAATTTCTGCTCCTTCTCCTACTTTACCTTTTGTGCTCCTTGCTGCCCCTTTCTGTTCCTTGATGTCCCTTCCTGCTCATTTCTGTTCCTTCTCCTTTTCTTATTTTACCTTCCTGCTCCTTGCTGACTCTTCATGTAGGCTGTCTCCCCCATTCCTCACTTCCATAGGCGTGCGCACGGGGTGTGTCGGGTGTGAATGGGCACACCCTAATCTCCGCGGCACGCCAATGGATTGAGACCGGCAGGGGAGATCTCTGGATCTCCCCGGTCGGCTCATGCAGAGCCGGAGCTATCCGAGCGGCGGCTCTGGTCTAAGCTTCCATGGGCCGGTGGGGAGATCAAAGTTCTACCTCACCGGTCCACAGCAGCATGGAGGGAGGCAGCAGAAAACCCAGGCTAGAGTTCACTCTCCACTGAACCACCAGGGAAGGCAGCAGGACTGGGATATTAACTAATCTGCCCCCACCTCCACCCAAACATACAGCACACACACATAGCACCTACACACAGCACACACAGCCCACAAACAGCACCCACACACATACATCACCCTCGCACACATAGCACCCACACACACCCAGCACACTAACAGCATCCTCACAAACACACAAAACCCCCCCCAAATCTATAGGCTGCTGCCCCCAAATCTATAGGCTATCTCAAACCTCCCCCATCCCTCACTCCCAAATCTATAGGCTGCTGCCCCCCCAAATCTATAGGCTATCTCAAACCCTCCCCATCCCCTCCCCAAATCTATAGCTGCTGCCTTTTAAAAATCTGCCCCAAATATAGGCTGCTGCCCCCAAATCTATAGGCTGCTGCCCCCAAATCGCTGCCCCCAAATCTATAGGCTGCTGCCCCCAAATCTAAAGGCTGCTGCCCCAAATCTATAGGCTATCTCAAACTCTCCCCATCCTCACTCCCCAAATCTATAGGCTGCTGCCCCAAAATCAATAGGCTATCTCAAACCCTCCCCATCCTCACTCTCTAAATCTATATGCTGCCTCTCTATAGGCTGCTGCCCTCAAACCTCCCCCTACCCCACTTACCTGATCTGTAGGCTGTCTCTGGCTGCATGTGTTGCTCCCCTGCGGTTTCAATCAGCAGAGAGAAGCAGGGATAAGATGCAGTTTCCTATCCCTGTCTCTCTCCATACACAGCGCCACCTACTGGCCGGCGCTGGTATTGCAGTTCATTTTCAATCACACTAAAAATAGCAGCACAAGCTGAAAAATCCAGGGGGGGACAAGTGCCCCCCCTTGCCCCCCCCTGCGGACGCCCATGGCTGTGACCCTTACTACCTTTCCGTTCGTACGTAGAGCTGTGCTTTCTTTTCCTTGCATTTGTATATTGCTATCGAAATTCTCCAGACTACCAAGTACTTACTAATCATTTTACAATACTGGTTACAATCCCACAGCACTCTGTGTAGTTGCATTATTTGCTGATATTCATCTTTGTAGATTCTTCTTATACCTACCAAGTGGCCTGGTGAATGTTTGCCAGTCTTGTAATAGAGATAAAATTACTGGCAGATACTTTTTAAACTTTTTTTCTTTTAGATTTGCACACCTATTTTTGGGTATTAGTTGTAGCACCTACCTTTGGTTTACACTTATGTACACTAGCACGTTTTGGTTTTAATATTACTTAATAAAATGTATTTATTTTTTTCTTTGGTTACACATGAGTAGTATACTTTGTCATACAGTATATCTTTTTAGCATATCTGTTATAGACTGTTATACTTATTTTTGAACCTATTCTGTTCTTGAGTAACCACTCATTACATGCAGGTACACTTCTTGTTTTCTTGTCATTAGGGTTATATTTCATTGTAACAACTGATAGTAGCACAGTTAGTGCAGTTTAAATATGCATTGCATGTGGGTATTAAGGAGGTAGTTGGGATTTGGGGAGGGGTTCGAGGACGGGGAAACAGATTTCCAAACCAAATCATGGTGTAGCCTCTGGGTACACGGCTATGGTTGGTGATAGCGGGGGCCCTGTGACGAGACCAATCTCGCCACTGTGGATTGGAGGAGCCTGGTTGCCCGCCTGCTGCCTTTAGGCTATTGCCCCATGTTGAAATGCTTGATTTTCCTCTGCAAAGACACGAAAGCTGGGTCATTCGGTACTTGCCCTATTTGAACAGTGATACCCCAGATAGCTATGCCATGGAGCCCATTCGTATAACGAAAGATTATGTGAAAGACTTTGGCTCCATGGCAATTGAACTGTATGTATGTGATCTGAGTGCCATTCAGTAATAATGTGCGCTCAGATCTAAGCTATCTGGGGATATGTTGAATGTACCTGTTTTATGCAATCGCTGCACAGTTATATATTTTTATTTATTTTATTGTCTTTTGCTGCCATGTGTTCAATGGAGTGTTGACTCTGTCCTTGGAGATAATTGGATTACTTCCCAATTATCTCCAGGATAGAAGACTCTGTGGAACTGGTTTTGGGCAGAAAAGTAATTTAGTCACAAAGGACTATGATCTATCTTTTGAAACACTGGACCAATTTGTATGATTTTGACGTATGTATTTGGAGTATGCTGATTCTGAAAATGTAAGTTTTATGTGAATGTGATGCATACTTTTAAAGTTATGAATAATGTGGAAAAACTGTATTTCTCTGCCTGTGATAATTACATTAACTCATTGTGAAAGGTAATTGTATCACATGCAGAGGGGAGGATTTTGTGTGGGAGTGTCTGAGTGTATTGTACGTGTTTATTGGTTGTTTTACAAAACCCTGTGGGTGGTACTAATTTGTATGTGTATGTAAGAACAATAAACCCACAGCTCTGTATGTTCTTGTTTGACCCTCAAAACGGAGCCTTGTCTCGTTCTTGGGGGGATCTATTGTATGCTGTTCCAGTTCGACTGCTAGGAGTGTAAACTTATTTGTATGGTTTTTCCTATTCGGCTGTTTACGGCATTCATATGGTTTCCTGTTTGGCGGATTGGTGTCTTTGGTAGCTTCCTGTATATCTGGAAGGGGAATATCTACTAAACAGCTGTTAACCCCTTTTATGCCTGGGGTGCTGTTAGAGGCCCCATCCGGGATCATCTGCAATGGCTAAGAATATTTCCATAGGCAACGTATTGGAGAAAATGAGGTTCTACTTGTTGGTGGTGGGGTTAACTTTGTTTTAGTTAGGGTGAAATAGGCCAGCCTGGTGGTTGGTGCAGCATGTCCGGCCACTGTAGGTGGTGTTGGTGGAGCGCAGGTTTGTGGTTTTACCACACTGTATCCGTCAACTTCTCTGTCAACTCCCCGACTACCCCGCTGCATCCATGGACAAGCTTCTGGTTAGGTGAGTGCTGGGCCCTTTGAGGCATAAGTGCATGGGTATGGGGTTGGTTACGGGTCACAGTGCAGGTTAAATATATTTTTTTCCTCTAAACATCACTATTTGGTCTTTATCAAAATCATTCAGGGTTTTTCACTTGCCCATTTGTCCTGCTTCCAAAATTTAAAATTCAAGAACTGACTGTTCACTTGTTGCCCAATATATCCAATCCCTTTGACAGGTGCCATTGTAGTGATATGATGTTATTTTAATGTACATTGTACATTGTGTCTATTTGTAAATACAAATATTGGACTAAGAGTTCAATGATTCAAGAGGCTACAATCAAGAAAGACAGAGAAAACATAAATTGACTGTGCAGTAATGAGGGAGCTGTTGTGTAATAGGGAAGGCTTTCTTTTTTACTTTGAGGATAAATTAACTTCTTTACTAACCTCTTTTTATTATGGGTATTTTTGCATGCTACACACATTTTGCAAAAATAAAAACCTGTGGATTAATTTAAAAAAAATGCTGTTCTCTTGATCTTATATGGTTGTGTCCAAAATTACTTTTAAAACTAGGTACTCTTCTAAAAGTAATACAAGGTTTTCAAAGTATAGTACAGAGAAGCAATGTTATATTATTTGATAGTGAATCTCAGACATGAAACAAAAAAAACAAAAACAAAAGAAAAAAACTTTAGTCCAGAGCAAAACATTTAATTGGAAAGTATATAAACCACCAATGTTTAACAACTTAATAGATGGCATTGCAATTTCATGGCCATACATTTTTTTTCTAGATTTCTTTGCATTTTTGACCATTGTGATGAAATTACAGCTTTTTTTTTTAGATGATAAAGAAAGACAGGAGAAATATTATTTATAGAGCATAGTTGGTTATCCTCTGCTTCTATGATCTTTATAAGTCCAGAAGCCTGTTCATTCTCTGACCTCAAGATTGGCTTTGGTCTTACAAACCCCTGCATGTATGTTTTTACAGGTTTGCAATGCTAT